GGCTGCATGTTGGACGATACAGGAGGATGAGGCCTTAGAAGGGACGCACGGTTGCCCCATTGTGCGGCCTTTCATGTTGGCGATGGTGATCGCGAGTCGTGCTCTTGCTTCATTGTGAGAGAAAGTAGAAGAGCTGGGAATGGTCATCTCAGGGTCGTTCAGCGCGTCGTGAGTCAATCAAGCTAGGGGGCAGAGAGGTAGAGAGTGCCGAGGTGAGCGACCGGGCGTGTTGTGGCCAGCCTTTAGGTGGCAGTGACTCGGGTACTGCCCGATGACGAATGCTTTCGCCCCTCTGACACCCCTGATCGAACACCTCGGCCAATATTCAGCCACACTCCCCTTAGGCTCTCCTCATACTACCTGTCCGTTCGTACCTGCACGCTGAGCACCTGCGCTGTCCACTGTCCATTGAAGTAGAGAGAAGAACATAGCAGATGATGGTGAGCATCACGCCGACAGTTCTAAGCACAATTCATGCATTTATCGCCCTCTGCGTCGTCTGTCAATATTTCCTCAATGGCCAACGCAAATTCGGTGGTCAATGCAAGAATGAGCACTCCCGCGACAGTAGAAGAAGCGGATTCGGCTGTGTATCGCCGCCTGTTCCTCCTCCTCCTCCCACTGTTCAATTCTCAATTGCAGACACATGCTGGTGCCTGGAACGCTTCAGGCCCAAGCATGGGCCCCGTGACCCCGCTACGCTCTCCACATTCGCATATTCTCTTAGTTCATTGCCTCCGTAATGTAGAGAGCATCTCGCGCGATCTCTATTTCAAGGCCGACCGGCTCTCCTCTCCACTCTCCTGCTATGGCCCCGCGAAGCAGCAGCCCAACGTCATCTCCGGGCTGGACGAATCACCTGAAGAGCTCTGCGTGAAGGCCTTCCTCGCCACCAAGGCAGGCACGGTAAATGAGTATGTGCATCGCATTTCGTTCAGTTTTTCACGGGCCTCTCTGAAGGTGCGGGACAGATGAAATATGAAGCAGATAAGATCGCAGCGGCAGAACAGACTTTTGCGAATGCACGTATGAATGTGAAGCAGGTGTATGAGCAGGCCACGCGTAACATTCCCTCGCGTTCGGCGGTGGATCCGGCTTTGGCACGTCAACATTTGGCTCTGGTGCGTCTACAATAGCAGCGTTCGGCTCGGATGCCTTTGGGCAGACTGCGTTTTGGAAGCCTGCGCAGGCAACGTCTGCGTTTGGGAGTGGATCTGCACTTGGCCAACCGGCACAAAGTGCCTCTGCGTTCGGCCAGCCTGCTCAGAGCACATCTGCATTTGGACAGCCCGCTCAGAGCATATCTGCGTTCGGACAACCAGCGCGGAGTGCATCGGCTTTCGACCACCCACAGACCACGTCCGCGTTCGGTCAACCTTTCCAAACTACGACTGCATTCGGCCAACCTGCCCAAACTACGTCCGCATCTGGCCAGCCAGCACAGCCATCATCAATACCATTCGGACAAGCATCAACCACCACAACATTCGCGTTCGGCCTAACAGCATTCGCTCAATCCTCTCTCATCAAGCCAGCAACACGGTCCTTCAGCTCAGGCGCCTTCTCTGCGTTCACACGAATTCTCAGCCTG